AAAGAAAAGAAACAGGGCCACAGAGACTCAAAATAAGGATTGTCCCTTTTCTAACACCCCCTATACCTTGCCACTCCACCCCAAGCTCAGGATACACTAGGTTCCAAGTTCTATGCCCCAGACTCCAGGCTCAAACCTGGAGTCCTGGGGACATGCACATGGCCAGCATTTGGTTGAGGACCAGGCCTGGGAAGGGGGAGCTCCTGCCAAGGACACTGTGGAAGAGGCCAGGACTTCTGGCCCAGCTGAGCCACCCAGGCAGCCAGCCTGTGTGGAACTGAGGGAGAGGGGGCAGGAGGGGATAGGTACTGGGCTAGGGAGGGGAAGTTGCCCCAGAAGTAAAATCTGGTAATGACCACGATTTTTACTGTTACTTATTATGACAATCATAGGGCCTCTCTCCTCACGCCTGAATAAAGAGTCCCCTTCCTTCCCCAGGCCCCTGCCAAATCCCTCCTAGGCTGAGGGCTGATGTCAGAGGAACAGGGCCCCACCCACTGGAACAGCTGCCACCCTGGCCCTGCACCCCCCCATACACACACTCCTGTGGGGCCCTACACAATGGGAACTGGAGCTGGGGGAGCCATGCAAAGGAAGAAGGGGCTGGCAGAACCTCATTGTTCCTACAGTTGGACCCTCACACACAAATACACACCACACGCTTGCAGAAACTCATGCATGCAGGTCTAGAGAAAACATCTGGGTGGGCAAGAGCACATCTGCAGCCCCAGCCTGTGTGTGTGCAGGCATGCATGTGAGGAGAGGGAGCCTGGAGATACCATCTCTCCACACCTGGGCTCCACCACACAATGAACACAGCTCAGAAACTGCATGCATAGGCCCCAGTACACAGCTCCCCAAAGACACAACCACAGCCCCACAGTCTCCAAAACTGCACATTCTCCGGTCCTCACACAGCCAGGCTGGCCCTTATACCTGCTACTTCTGCCAGAAGATGCTCTGAGGTCCTCCCTGTGGGCCTAGCCCATGCCCCAGGTCCACAAGTACTCAGGTGAATTCACACTCACACAGAGGCCTGCCTCTCTCAAGGTGAGGCCCAAGGGGCAGCTGACCCAAAGCGAGGCATCCATAATCCAGGCTGAGGCCCAGAAAGCCATCACTGCAGACCCCAGGCATCCTGACCCAGCCTTTAGGGTATGGGAGGCCAGTTCAGTCAGTCCAGCCTGGACCCTCTGGAACCCACCCGTGATCCCAGAGAAGAGAGAACCACAGCCCCCTCAACTCTGCCCCTGAGGAGTTTAAAACTGAACCAAACTTCAATCCCCACTACTCCAACCTCATCCCCCAGCCCACCACCCACACACACTACAGGGCAAGGCTGGAAGCCTCCTCAAACCCCTATCAGAGCGTCCAAAAAGCCTAACCTATCTCTGCCTGCAAACTTCAGTGCAAATTTACTCAGCTCCCTGGGGAGGGCCTTGAGCCGCAGGAGGGGTTAAAGGTCACAAAAATGGGCCAAGGGCCAGACAGACCAGAGAACAGGGATGGGCAAGGGCAGGGATGACCAGGGTGGGCCTGAAAGAAGCACAGGCTCTGCCTCAGAAGGTCCTTCAGGAGCTATGACCCCCAGAGAGATGCCTGGGCCTCAGCCCCCTACATCCCAGGGGTGGAGAAGGCCCCAGCAGAGAATCGAAACCAGTACCAAATAGAGGGAAAACAAACTACCCACATCCAACCTCCGCCCTACGCCAGCCACCTCCACTGCCCATGGGCACCCTCCCCTGAGAGAGAGAAAGCCACAGGCCCACACCTCCAGTATACCAAGCCTAGCCTAAGCACAGCAGTTAAAGGGGTAGGGGGCTGGAGCTCCTGCAACCAACCCCACAGCCCTGCTCACTGGGGCCGCTTTTACCCTCAGAAGGTGCTAGGATCCCTTCCCCAGCATCAGTGTCCCTAGTGCCCATGCGTTATACTGCAGAGTCACACACCTAGAGAAAAAGGTGAGAGCTTTCTGAGCCATGAAGATGCGAGAAACAACCAAATGCTGGAAGGGTCAAATCTCAGCTCTGCCACTCTGGGTGACCTTACACAAGTCACTTAACCTCTCTAAGCATCTGTTTACTCACCTGTGAACTGCCTACCTCAACAATGGGTTGTGTGATTTCAGACAGGAAGTCCTGGAAAGCACCCAGCCCAGAGCCTGGCACAGGGGAGGCGCCGGGCAACTGCAGCCCTCCATCCCCACACCTCTTGCCAGCACCTTGGTGCACCTCAGCAGTCACCCTGCTTTCCCTTGCCTCACCCCACCCAGGGCAACATCTGTTGACAGGGCCAGGAGGGAGAATTACCCATTTCCCAGGGTCTGCTTCCCCTCAGACGGAGGAGAGGGATGTGGGGAAAGGGATATTCAGGGTGTGGGTGGAGGCCTGACCACAACCCTTTCCCAAATTCCCTTCTTTCATTTCACAAACCAAAAAAGGGAAACCTTTGGATTTGGAGAGGGGAGAAGGGGAAGAGAAATAGACCATTTCCTCTCCTGTACTCAGGAGAGAAGAGCAGGGGACCCCAAACTCAGCCTGGCCTGGGCCCAGCCTCCCTTCCTCATTCAGTTCTCTCTGCTCTCCTGGCTCCCCGGAAACAATGGTTCCCAAGAAATAGAAGTCAGGCAGTCTCAGAGGGGCTGAGAGAAGGGGAAAAGGATTGGGGAGCTTAAAGGAAGGGGAGACTGGGGGTTTCCTAAGCATTCTAGACAGTTAGTGAATCATATGCAAATGACACCTAGAGCTCAAGCTCAACTTGGGCAGGAGGGACTCTAGCCTTGGCAGAAACAAAGCCCTGCCGCCTTTGGACCCCTATCCTGCCAGGAGCTGGCCAAGCAAGGCAGAACAGGCTAGATTCTAAACTAGAACCATTTCCACACTTTCTAGGAAAACACACTCCCGTTTGTACAAAGAGACAACCTCTCCCCTCCCCCACACTCCTCATATCTGCAGACAGGGGTTGGGGAGCAGCCGTGACTACTCCCCACTTGTTCAAGGGTCCCCTCTGGCCTAGGCTCGCACTTCTCTCCTCCCTGGCAAGCCAGCAACCCAGCCACTTGGATCCTCTGTTTCCTGTCTGTTCACCAGGGTCTGGGCTGCAGGAAGCCAGGTTAGCGCAGCCTCATTTTAAAAGAGCCTACCCTAGGAGGGCTTGAGAAGGATCATCTGGGGGTAGCTGAGATAGCTGTAGGGTACCTCTTCCCCACGAACCCCACAGAACCTGGGGCTAGCCTTGCTAGAACTAGGACTGGTTTGAAAACCTGCCCTAGTCGGCGCAGCCATAAGCATGTCCTCCTGGGAGCTAGGAGAAGGAGGAAGTCTAGTGTCTCACCTCCCGTTGCTACTACTGCCCACTGCCTCGGGACACAGTGACTTGTCCCAAAAGAACAGGTTCAGTGTCCTCCACAACCTGTGTTCCACTCAGCCCAGGGTTCTTCCCCAGCTACGCAGAGCTGCAGGACCCCCACACGCCATAATCTCAGCAGTGACTGGATACCAAGCAGAAAGGGCGAATGGACAACCCAAGCTCAGGGCAGTCCAGGTTCTAGGAGGAGGAAGTGGGGGTCTCTGCTGGTCACGGCTGTGCTCCCAACTCCTCCATCCCCAGGGGCCATACTCCAGATCCTCCAGGGGACATGCTTAGGACTTCTAAAGCCCAGGGTGGCTGAGAGGTCCACCTAGAACCAGAACTGAAGCCTCCCTACTCCAAGCAGCGAGTAGGTCAAAGGGCAGGGGGTAATTCAGGCCTCAAGGAGAGGGACCAACCCACAGGGAAGGAAAAAAAAACAAAAATGGGAAGAGGAAGAGATGAGCCTACTGAGGCCACAGCCAGACCACAGAAATGTGTGGACCATACACAGGCAGTTCTGTTGGGTGAGAGACCAAAGGGGCACAGACAAAAGGGGACCCCCTAGCTTGGAAACCACCGACCTCATATCCAGCCTGGCACGGGGCTTTCCCCGCCCTCACCTTGGCAGCTGTCCCCCTCACCACTACCTCCCCTCCACGCTACCAAGCAGGAAGCACAGCTCTCTCACAATGCAGGAACAGCTCACAGAGAAACAGGCAGGGCCAGGGTGGGGAGACAGGCTGCAGCAACCCCCACCCCTCTCCTCAGCTCAGCCCAACCCTGTGACTGCCATATTCTAAGTCCTAGGGCAAACTGCCAGCAGGACTAGATGGTACCAGCCCCCTCCCAGCATCCCACCCTGGGGACCCACACTGCAGGGAATCCAGGAATACAACCCCCCCCCAAGTCCTGCCTCAGGATATCCTTTTGGCTCTGACCCCAGACCAGGCCTGAGTCAGACTGTGCCCTGCCCCATGCCCCCCTCCACCCACTGACCCCCCCGCAACTTCCTACTCCACACCCGCCTACTCAGTTGGGGCAAGAACTAGGGGGAATCTCTTCCCCTCTCCGTCCCCAGCTGAACAGGGAAGCCTACAAGGGGATAGAGATAATAGGTCACAGAGCCCCATGGCCTTCCCCTTAGAGAAGAGGGCCTGCTGGACAAGGGAGAATCGGGTGCAGGCTGTGTGTGTAAGGAAAGGCATGGTCTGCAGAGCCTCCACCTCCCCAGCCCCAAACACACGCAACCTGGGACCCTGCCCCAGAGCTCCTCGACACTGCAGCCTGGATCCCAGGAAGCCACAGACACTCCCTGGGGAACGTGGTTTCCATCAGAACACAGGATGGGAGCAGGCTTCAGAACCATATATGAGGATAGATAGGGAGCACAGAGGTTCCCTGAATGGGCATCTCTATGAGCGAGAAGAACCCCGGTTAGAGGGGACAAGGGCTGCAAAATCAGTCAGACTCACACAGTCACAGCCACAGTGAGGCACAGCCAGATGCAGTCACAGTCTCCCCAGCGCTCAGTCTGAGTAGGTGGCTGTGACTCCTCCCCACAGACAGACGTCTGGGGGGTCTTGGAGAATCTGGGGCATCAGAGACCACACACATTCAGCCTGAAAGGACCCCCTAGTCAAGTTCCCCAAGTACCCCTGCAGCCTGGTGGGGAGGGGTAGCTCCTTCCCCACAAGAAGCAGCGGTAGTGCCCACGGCAGATATAACCATGGCAACCAACAACAAACATCCCAGGAACCACAGTGGGACAGGAAGTGACAGCCACGTGACAGGAAGACATTTTTTTTCTTAGTGTTGTGGGGGGTGATGAAGATTGTTTGCAGCCCCTGGGGAATCAGCTGTCCCCCAGGTTTCTCCCACCTGGAGTTGGAGGGAAGGGGGACCACTAGGAAGGGGGCCAACCCCTCCTTGCTCTACACAGTGGGTCGCGGGACTGACAGGGCTCTCCCTCTCTGCCTGCCACTCATGGGTCCCCCCCTTAACCCCCCTCTTCTCCACTTCCTGCCGTGACTGGAGATCAGAGAACTCTCCACCGCAGCTTCCCCTTCTCAAGTCTCGATTCCTGGGCTGAAGGTTTCACTGTGGGGCGAGGGACAGAGAAGAAGAGCTGAGGACCTGCGGTAGGACCCAGGGGACAGAGGCTTCAGTGGGAGGGCCAGGATAAAGCCACTCCAAGGTAGGTGTGTACATACAGACACACAGAGAGTGGGTCATGGTGACACTGCCTGCAGGTCGCAGTGACACATGAAGACTTCCTGACCTCAGTAACTCTGGGGGGAGAGGGAACAGCCAGAGGACCCAGCCCTGGTGTGCCCCACTCTTGCCCTGTCCTGAGCCTCCGGGTTCATCTCAGGCATCTACTGGCCTCCAGAAAGCAAGGTCCCAACTGTGCCCAGCCCCTGCTGCCTCTCCCCTGGCACCTCTCCCCTGCCTTTTGTGCTAAGGAATCCCCCTCACTGCTCCAAGGTGCCCGCCCAGACGAGGGCACCTTGGCTGGAGGTGGGGGAATGGAACCTCCCTCCACCCCCCTCCCCTTCTCTGCAGATGTCCCAGACTATATTTAGCCCAAACCGGGCGGCCAGCCAGACCCAGACTCCCCACTGGCCCAGAGCTGAGCTCCCAGTTTTTAGGCAATTAAAACATTAACAGAGAACCACCCCTATCCACACACCCCCATACCCCCAGCCCTGCCAGGGCAGCAGAGCTCTGAAACCTTGAAGGAGGGCAGCCCAGCTCTGCAGCCAGGGATAGGGGTGGGGGTCATCAGGCAGGACAGGGGCATCATCCACGAGATCAGATTGACACTTGGCTGGTGAAGGGGAAGGCTTTCCTTGTTCCGGCAAAAAGGGAAAGGCATATCCAGTTGGGGGTGGGGGTGGAGTTGCCTAGCTGCAGAAATTACACCTGTCATTCTGCAGCCCCCTCCCTAGCAAGCTCCAGTTATAGGGCTGGGGTTGGCAACAGGTGCAGGCCAGCCTGGCAGCAGCCTAATCCCCCCACCAGCTCCACAGGCTGACTGTGGTGCCTGGAGGTCCAGCAGGGGCCCTTTGTGGCAGGATGTTAAGTAGAAGGAGGTGTCACTGCCCAGAGGGGTGGGCAGCCCATGGCCCTTCTGTAAGAGCTGGCCCCTGGCCCACATGATGTGTGCTGAAGGGTCTAAGGAAGCCAGGGAAAACTTAGTTCCATAGCACCTATTTCATTTCCCCATGATGCCAGGTGGGCGGGCTAGAGTGTGGGAGGTCTGTCTGCCTGCCTCTTCCTCCTCCTCCTCTCCAAATTCCAGGAACAGGCAAGGGAGGCTCCAGTTGTGGGGAGAGAGGGAGAGCAAGCAGGCGGTCCTAGCTAGGGGGGAGCAAGGGGAGGGCGGGACTGGAGCGGGAGGCAAGATCCAGACGAAGCAAGAGACACCCACACCCGAGACACCCACACCCGAGCCAGACTGGGGACAGACACACCAACACTGGCACATTCTCACACTAGGCCAGGTCCCCACATGCCGCCCACCCTGCGGGGACACCCAGACAACCTCAGCCAACCCTGCCAATTCCCAGAATACTCCCCGGACACACACGAAGATCCAGGCACTGCCCCCCACCACGCATCCCCCTACAAACCGTGTGGGCTCCAGACAGCAGCCAGAGGGTGGAGTGGGGAGTAGAGGAAGGAAAGACAGCAGGCGTCAGAGAGAATGTCCCGCCAAAGCCTTGGGAGCTGGGGTATCAGTTGCCATACTCCTTTCCCAAAACATAGTAAGTCAAGACAACCCTGGTCATCTTGCCAGGGGCCCTGCCAGCTTCCCACACTCCCAAAACTACTGACACAAGATGGGTGTGGGGTGCTGAGCAAATGGAGATTACCCTGCTTATTTGTCACAGGGACAGGATTACCATCCCCAGATGCCCATCACCTCAGATCCCAGGCAGGGCACCCAAATATTAATAGATCCCACAGAGGCAAAAACATAGCTACCCCTCCAGCCCAGCCTAAGTCCTGTCCTGCTCATGCTTCCAAGAGGATTAGAAAGTAGGCATTGGGGTTTGTATTTTGGGGCAGGCCCCATCCTCACATCACATGGCTCTAAGGACCATCCCACCTGAGACTGGAGTCTGAGCAAGGAGTGGACTGGGAAGAAAGGTCCCAGAGGGCACAGTCAGCTTCCAAGACTAAACGGGTTAGGGGAAGGGGAAATCATTAGCAGGGGTCTGGGTGAATGTCCCCAAAACAGACTCGAGAGGCCACTCAGAACTCAATGTCCTCTCCCCCATATTTAGATGGGGTGGCAGGAACCACGTCATGGCACATGTGGGTGACTATGCCCAGTGGGGGAGGCACATGGGCGATCAGGATGGGGCTGCTCACAGCTAGCTTCCTGCCAGGCTGCCTCAAAGTTGGGAGTAGGAAGGAAACTAAAAAGGTGTACCAGGGTGGCAGCTGGAGCATTTAGGGTCAGACTGAAGGGATAGAGATTTAGGGGCTATAGGAAGGAGGAGGTGGCCGGGATTAAGCCATTCCAAGCCCAGGATCTTCTCAGAACTGCCATTGCATCTGTGCCACTATCGCCAGTCTAATGGTGAAACCCCTGCAGTGACACCTCATGTACACTCACTCACACCCTCAAAATCCCTGCAAATCCAAGATCTTCGGCTCCCAAGAGCCTATGCCAGTCTGACCCTACTGACTTCTCTTTCAGGACACCACATGACCCAGACTCCCAGGCAGTACTGATGTCCCAGCTCCTCCCAGCATACCATCTTTCACAGCCACAAACTCCCTGACTCCATAACCACCCCCTCTTCTTCCTCCAGGAAGAAGCATCACATAACCAACTCCAAATATTTTTTCTCTTGTTCCTTACCCCAGCCTCATCCCCACCCACCCCCCAGGGGAAGCCCCAAGGCTCCAAGCCACCCCCACTCCAACCTGGGGCTTCCCTGACACAGCCTCCTCATCAAGCCCTGTAGGAGACTTTGGGGCCTGAGGTCCAATTTCCTAGCAAGACCTGAGAGGTCCTTACAGAACCACTTCTCCCAAAACAATCTTGCCCTATGAAGACTGCAGCCAGGGAAGGGTATAAGAGACAACCTGGAATGTCCTGGCCAGGAAACTGAGGAGGGGGAGTGTCGGAGGCAGAAGTGATCCTTGGAATTAAGCAGCAGGGGGTGGGGGGTGGGGGGTGTTTTCAGAAACAATCCTTTCCAAGAATATATACATATGTACACACAGCCAGCAGACAGAAGGCAACCTGGTTATAGAAGACAGAGTCAGAGTGGGGAGGAGGTACCCTTCCAGGCCATCACATTGGGTATCCTATCCAAGACAGGATGGAGGGTGCAGAAACATCTCCAAGGCTGAGGAGCTATCCTGTCTGGTTTCTGGATTAGTTGGTCCCCATCCCTACCCTAGCACACTGGAGGCCTGTCCTTCACAAGGAGCAGCCTGACAATAGGGCAGTGCCCAGAGGGGAGAAGAGGGGACACAGCCAAGCTCATTTCCCAGCCGCCCCCTCCCCACAACCGGCGAGCACACACACATCTGGCCAGCAGCTTCCAAGCCTCGTGGGTGGCACCAGGTCCCAGACACCCTCAGCAGAGCAAAGTCGACCCGTCTATTCTGTCTTCCCCTCAACCCAAAAAGCTCCCACACCCCATGGTCGCACAAGACCCCAGGGACACCCCTACATACATACTGCATTGGCTCCTGCACCCAGTTCTGACAGCTCCCCTCACTCCACGGGGAACACCAGCTGAGTGGGCCCCGCCCCTGGCCGGCTCCCTATGGTGGGGTGGGCCCCCTGGCTGATTCTCCCCAAACCACAGGGCAGCTCAGATAACAGGAGGGAAAAAGGGAGGAGGCTAGTCCGTTGAGCATCCGATCTCTCCCCAAACAGGTTTGAAAGTCTTTTTGTTGTGCTTGTTTTTGAAGAGAAAGAGAGAGCAGGAGTTCCCAGCGGCAGTTCTGCAAGGGCTCGAGCGCTGGGGACACACGCAGCAGACGGCCCCAGACGCCTCAAGGCTGCGCGCGAAGACACGGCGCAGGCAGACGCACAGACGGGGCTCCCCCACCCTGGACACGGCGGCAGCGAGTTGGGAAACCCAGGAAACCCCGGGTTCCCGTCAGAAGCCTCCCGGCACCCAGTCCCCTCCCGTAGCGCTTATCTGGGCAGGACATGGGGCCCCGACGCCTGCGGGAACCAGGGGCTCCCCAAAATCCCCGGGGAAAGGGTTACCTCGCAGCCAGGGGACGCAACCCGTTCGGGGTACCCGCGAGCACAACGTCTGCCCTAACCCGGCGCCCTGGTGCTGTTCGGCATTAGAGTGCGGGATCCCGGGAGAGGAGCCGTCTGGGGGGCCGCGTCTCAGGGGCGCGGGGCGACGGCAGCGGCCATAGCGAGTCACGTGCGGAGGCTGAAACTTTACCCGGAGCCCCAGACTATAGGGGCGGAGGGTACGGAGGAGAGGTGGGGGAAGGCCCTCTCCCTCAGGCCCGCCCCTGCCCGCCCACCGACCAATCATCAGTCAGGGGCGGATCTACAGGATCACCCCCGCCCCCACCTCTCCTTAACAGACCCCGGGAAGGGCGAGTCTTAAAGGAGCCGCTCCTAGCAGAAGGCTGGACCGTGGGAATCTGGGAGAATCCCTCCCTCAAACCCGAACCGAAAATTCAGAGCGAGGAGGGGGTGATGTTCTGCGGAAAGAATGAAAATAGCACTCGGTGAAGACCGCAGCGTGTGGTATCCTACACTCCTTTCCCCCGCGACCACACACACTCCCACACCTAAACCCGAGAAGAGAGGCGGCGGCAGAACATGGAAGTGAGTGCGGTGACTCCTGCCCTAGCTGTCAAGCCCCTGAATCCTATAATTATAATCCTCTTCTAGGGACCAGCTGGAACTGAGAGCTGTGTGACCTTGACCAAGTCACTTCCCTTCCCTGGATCTTAATTATCTCAGCTGAAAAAAAAAAAAAAAAAAAAAAAAAAGTCCAGGAGTAGATCTCCCGCAAGTACATTTCTTTCCCCAAATAACTCTCCAGCTCCAGTGGGTACTAGGAACTCTGGCCCAACCCAACCCCTCCACCCCGCTTAAGGTACACTTCTCCTCAAAGGGCGAAGACTTTTGGATCTTCCAGTAGGGGCGCCCAGGAGCACCCCTCCGTGCTCAAAGACAGACTCAAGCTTCTTTCTCCCGAGCAAGTCTGGAGAAGCCAGGAACGCTCTTGTTCATATTCCAGCTGGCCAGGATCTGAATCGCCATCCATCTGAGAGACCCCAATCTCCAACACAGCCATGACCCTCCTCCCAGCCTGCTGCTCTGTTTGGGAGGATCCTGTCCCCATCGCTAGCAGTCCACTGGCGGGCTTAGGGGAAAGCAAAGTCGCTTAGGGAATACTCCCCTCTCGCCCTGTTCCCAGGCAGAGAAGTGGCCACAAGTGCCCCCACAGGACTTCCCACTGGAAGGGGAAGTGCTGCACTCCCAGGCCTCCAGCCCAGTGAGAAGACTCTCAGCCTGACCCGGTGGCAGACCTCTCAGACCCACTGCTCCGACGGCCCCGCTTTACAGGAAAGAGAGGCCAAGAGCAGGCACAACGTTTTGTCCACAGTCGCACGGGTTGCAGAGCCGGGTCTAGAATTGAAGTATCTGATTGTCTGTCCCTGGCTCCAGCCCAAGAGCCATGGTAAGGTAGGACAAGCCAGGATGGCGGGATGCTCTGCCCCGAGGGCTGGCGCACGGGGAACTGCCCCGGCAGCCGGACCGACCGCGCTTCCTCAGGCCCCTTCCAGCCGCTGGGCCGGAGCTGTCTCCCGCTCCCGTCTGGATTTCCGTCCGCCGGTGCGAACCTCGCGCCCAGCCCCTCCCGCCCCGTCCTGTCCAGATTCATCCGCAAACATGCGCTCAGCCGGCAGGAATGCGCCAATGGCTCCCAGATGTGGACGCCACCGCTTAACCCCTTACCCCACAGCCGCGTTCCCCCAAGGGCCTTCAGCCTGAGCCCTGCCAACAGCTGGGAGCTCTGCCCAGGTGAGGAACCAGCCCAGGACTGAAGTCAGCGCCAGCCCACCCCCAGTGCCACAGGCACCTCCCAACCTAGATTCTACTGGCCTTCCTTCCTTGAGGCTAGAGGGGAAGGCTCATGGACACAAGAATGCAGCATGCTACACTGCCTCCCACGTGGCACGACCTTCAGGTACACCTGCCATCATGGGGTTAGGTATCCTGGTACAAATGCACGTGCACATTCAGGACAGGGTTGTGTACAACCCCAAGACACATGTATGCACATCTACGCATGAACAAGTACATACAAACACAATTTGTGCCCAGACGAGGGCATGAAGCAGAAGGGGCACACTTCTGCACAGACACAGAAGTAGGCCCATGTGTGGATGAGGGAAGAAATTTATACACACAAACCCACACCCGACAGGGGTCACTCACACAAGACCAGTACCTATGTGTACAAACACATAGAATGCACATCTTTGGGGGCATTTCCTTCCTGCCCAGGGCAACCAGTACCACCTGTCCAAGGTCCAGCTCTACCCAAGCTTGACTGCAGAAAGCAGGAGAGGTCCCCAGGTGGGGAACCAGGAGTCTTCAATCTGCAGCCCCAGCTGAACTCCAGCTGTGCTGGGCTCATAATAGGGCTTCCACCACCCCCTTTCACCAGGGACCCTGATGCAGGAGGAGAGAAGAGTGCCCAAGAAGCAGCAGGAAACTAGCAGAGAGAGAAAAGTCACAGGCTCAGGGGCACCTCACTCTTTATGAGGGACGCTCCTTGGGGCCTACCAGTTCCGTGCACTGGGAGATAGGCTAGGGGAGGAGCCTGAGCCACTGGTTTCCCAAAACAAGGATCCCTCTTCAAACTAGAAGAAGAGAAGGAAGAGAGGCTGGACAGGTAGCAGGGACGGTGACAGTTCTCAGTAGTCAAAAAGAGATAAAAAATATATAGCTTTGAGATACCCTGGGGGGCCCACACTGCTAGTACAACAAGGCTGTCCTCTCACAGCCTGTGGGAACTCCTGAAGAACAGCATTAAGTGATAGTCTAAAGAGAGGATGAGAAGCAATTGGCCCTCCAAGACCACCAGGATGGTGTGGGAGTTTCCTATTGGAACCAGCTCCAGCTGACTCCTCTTCCCTTCCCAAGCCTCCTTGCTCATCCCAAAAGGAGTTCCTCCCACAAGTACCTTAATAGTCCCACTCCATTTCATTCTCACAGGTCCTAAAGGGGCAGGCTCCTGTTGCCATTGCACAGATGAGAAAACTGAGGCTCAAAAAGAAAATTGCCTTCCTCAAGGTCATACAGCTTGTCAGTGGCAGGGCTGGGACTCAAACCCAGGCCAGGTATGGTGGCACACACCTTTAATCCTAGCACTCTGGGAGGCTACGGTAGAACAATTGCTTGAGTCCAGGAGTTTAAGACCAGCCTGGGCAACATAGCAAGACCCTGTCTCTTTTTTGTTAAAATAAAATTCATATATATGTATATATATAAAATAAATCCATATATATATATAAAGCACAATCAATGTTCCCTCCTCAACTCTCCCTACTCCTATTTACTCCAATCAAACATGTATCATGCCACTCTGTGCCTTGCTACCCCTTCCTTTACTCCTCAATGGATCACAAGGGAGAAGCGACATCCTTGCCTGGTGGGGCCAGGACATGCCAGAGAAAGAGCAGAGAAGACACTGGGGGCTGCACACATAGCCCTCCACCCCCACCACAAGTTTGGTGCCCACCTGCCTAGCAGGCATGGCTGGGTGACTCAGCTTCATCCGGGGGAGATGCCAGGGCAATGACTCACCTACCGAGAAGAGCGGAGCCTGGCACCTTGCCAGCCCCAGGACAGAAGTGACTTAGTCACCACCGAGACTGTGATGCCCAGCAGGCACAGCCCAGGGATTGGAGACAGGGGCAGACTGTCCCTCCATGGTTACATGCGCCCCCTGGTGAAGAACAGGCCTCCTGGCATTCTGGGGCCAACAATGGCTGTGCCAGACCCTACCCCCTCACCACTGCCCACCCCCACCACACCAGGCCCTGTTTCGGTGCCAACAAGTTTTGTGAGACCCCTGGGCTGCCCTGCCCCCACTACAGCCTGCCTATCACTCACCACCCACTCTCCCACCAGCCCCACCTCCTCCTGCCACCCAAGTTGTACCCAGGCTGTGAGTCTCCTTTAACATGTCCTGGCAGCACTCCCTGCCCCCACAGCCCCTCTCACCCTCTCCCCCCATACACACATGCACTCATACACACTTCTGCCAGCCTTGCTTCTGCCAGCAGCTACTGAAGTTGTTGAGCAGGAGGGAAATCAGGAGGGTGGGGTGCAGGGATTGAGTTACCAGAGGTGAGGTGATAGGGTGGGCTGACACCCAATCCCTTCCCCAGCTAGTCCCCACCACTGCCCCACCCCCCACCCGCCATCTCTCCCTCACCCACTGGCCTCCCTCCCCACCTCTGGGTGGCAGCCTACTGCCCCTTAGCCCCTCCACCCAAGCTAGAAAATAAATGTTCAAGAGTATTTGTCATGCTAAGACCAGCACAGTATATGAGCGAGAATGAGAAAGACACGAACAGAAAAAGTAATTCCTGTGCTCAGTGCTCTGGCTACAACCACTAAATATGTGTATGCTGAGCTGGAAGGGTACTGAGCAACTCCACAAGTCCCTGAAGAGTTGGTGGGGCCCAAGGGGAGTTGACAGGCTGAATAGCCTTAATCCATTTACACTATTGATTTCTCACAATAGTGATGGGGGGCATGATAAATCAGCCCCCCAGAGACACAGAAACTAAGTGAAGAGAAGGGGAGGGGTTCCTGTTCCACAAATGGTGGTGCACCAAGACCTGCTTGGTAGGTTGCGGGGGGCAGCAGAGGAACAGATGTTGAGTGGCATGAGGTAGGGTAGGGAAGAGGGTGTCAGATTAAGGCATATCTGGAACACTTCCTTCCAGCTGGGTCTGAATTTGAAGGAAGAAGGTCAGGGACAGATGCACCACATTTGGCTACACAGGCATGCTGCCTTGAACAACCCCAGGGGGCGCCATTCACATCATAGTATATGGAATAGCTCCCCTGCTGCTGTACAACATGGTGGCCCTTGGGGAGAGGATGAGGCAGAAGACAGAAAGCAGACTGAATTCTGAGGGACCACAATTATCTAGTGAGTTTTCTCCCCATACACACCCTAACTTGCCCCAACTTTCCCTGCCTCCCCCTACCAGGGGACTAACCTCAGGGGGGCCCCCTTCTGACTAGTGATCAGAAGCTGGTAGTAATCTGCCTACTCCTCAGCCCTGCTCCCTTCTTTTGTTAGGGAGATTGGCAAACAACCCCTATGACCCACAGGTCCTGAGCAGGGCAGGAGGAGGGCTCACAAAGGGCTCTGGGGAGTCTGGACGTCCCTTCTGTAAGGTATCTCCTAGCCCCAGAGCTCACCAGCCTGTGAGCCTGCTGGAACCTATCCAGCACCTCCATTCACACCAGTGGCCACAGGCCACCCAAATAAACCCAACTCTGACCTCCTTCCAGCCTGGACACACTCTCTCCACATGGAGAGACTTATAAACAAACCAAGCTAGGATTTACAGAGACCCTGCACAAACAAGCAGAGGGGGAAATGGACCAGGTGTGTCTGGCTCGTGGTCCTCCTTGCTGCAGTATGGGAGGGAAGCACACTGAGGTGTGGTGAGGAACCATGACAACAGAAAAATGGTGCAAAGGGAGGGCCTGGGTTCAGGTCTCAACATAGCCAATGACTGATTGAGTGTCCTCTCTAGGCCTCAGTTTCCTTCTCTGCAAGGGCAAAGGATTGCCTAGGTAGCCTCTAAAACCCCTTCAAGCTCTGAGTCCAGTTGGATAAAGAAAACCCTGAAGGGTGCCAGGACTCCTCTACCCAGTCCAGTCCAGCCCAACTACCTGGTTCAAGCCCCTCTTGGTAAGATTCTCCCCCTGCTCCACATGCCTCCTTGCT